CAAGTCCATTTCCAATCTTTACGAAACGTTATCGTCTTAAAAGTTAGCACCTACACAAAACCAACATACCCTGTTACGTTGCATTATGCTTCGTTAGGCTTTGTTATGCTGTGTTTTGCTGTGTCAACAAAATGTACGCACCCGGGGTACATACGGTACACGTATATCAGGCCTTACCACACACCGAGCGCGCTACTGACAGCAGGCGAGGAGGACGGAGAGACGGGTTATCTTGTGAAGGTATCGGCAGTGTTACAGGCGTACTGAGATTTTGGTTGACTATTTAAGTCAAAGGTGACTCTTCACAGTCGTACGTGAATGCTGTGTTCTGAAGGAGATTCTCTGTTGTGAGTAGAATTTAAAGGGCTTTCATCTTAATAAGTTAATATGAATTGTTTTAGCTATCTTCTCCATTATTCTTATTCTTACTATCGCTGCATATCCGTCATCAGCATGCCAATCACCGTCGTTATCATCATTAAATTGTTGTTGCAAGTACGAAAAAAAATCATTAAAAAGTAAATGGAGACTTGAGTATTTCTAAACTGAAATTTTATGACATTATAAGAAATGCATGTATGTTCAACGTTTCGCCCACTTGGGGCTTCATCAGGAACGTGATAAAAACGACAATTTTTTACCCCCCCCCCCTCCTCCCCCTCCTCATATTTGGAACCAAAGTTTTATTGAGCTTGAGCGTTCATCTGCAAAAGGCCTCTTCATCAATTAGTAAAAGTGGATGATCAAACCAAAAACCATCGTCCAACATTTTACAATCCCAATCAACAACCCCAAAAAATGAATCAACAGTAACAATAACACCAAAGTGACGACGATGACGTTGACAAACATTATGGAGTTATTGCTGCTATTCAACCCCTGTTACTATAATCCAAACGCAATAAGAAAGTAGCTGATCTTCTAAAACTGTTCAGCAGCGTCTTTGGAGTTGTCGTTAAGCGCTTCGCTCACGCACGCAGGAGACTCGCTCGATTCCCAAATGGGAAGATTAAAAAAAATAAATCAAGAATCTCCGTCTTTCAGCTGGAATGTTGTATCCGTCCCTACTCAGGTTGGCCCTAACACGCAGAGTCTGAAGCCTGCCTCTAGTGTCGATGGGGGCGTAAAAAACATCTACACAGAAATATTTATTACATTAAAACTCTTTTGGTCACTGTTGTTAAAGCACAGTGTTGTATTGCTGTAAAACGTAGAAAAACCTGTCTGCGTTAGGAAAAAAACTGTCGCTGGTATCAGCCCTGTTGTTTCTTAAATTATTGACACCCTGGCAGCTGTCACAGGCTACTCACAACTATTTGTGTTAAATAATAATAATAACTATAATGATAATAATAATTTAAAAAAATAGCAGTAGTAGTAATACTGCTCCATGCCCTTTACAGCTATCATTACCCCGGCAGTACCCAAAATACTCCATAAAATATTATCGGACTCTGTCAATCATACAGAGGCAAGCTGCGGATTGCACGCGCTCATGCACTAGCAAACTGACAAGATCTTTCACAGTCTGTAGCAGGGTACCCATTTCCACTTGGGTCAAGTGAGGAGGAAATTCACGTAAAGTGTCTTTTCCAAGGATACACCATCGGACCACGGAAGAGATTCGAACCGCAGGGTTTCGGTTTTGAGTCCGAGAGCCTAACCACAAGACCACCGACACGTTTCCCTCTATTATTTATTGTTTTTTAATAGCTAAAACCAGTATTGGTAAATTAAGATAGTTCATTTTTGTCCACACCACATCAAATTGGTGTGGTTTTTAACCCCCCCCCCCTCAACACACACACGCACACACACACACACACATACACACACACACACACAGGCACTCACACACAAACACACACACATATACACACACAGACATACATACACGAACACACACGCACACACACATACACTTACACACTCGGGCGGGCTCACACTCATGCATAATACATGTACTTTTTCACACATCCTCTCTTCCACACACACACATATCACTCATACGTGTGATATATGGTTACACCATAGAGTTATCTAGTGTACATCTATGGGTTACACTCACAAACAGACCCACAGTCACACACTATGGTATAGGCGTTTTACTTCTGATAAGCTTCTCGACGTCATAATTTCCTTGTCTCAACCTTTGTACGGTGACATCTGATGACACAAAGTAGATGATGCAGATCTGCAAATGTGTTTCTTGGAAGACTTCAACTCAATACAGGGTGCAGGTCAATGCATTTGATATGTAACTACCCCCTCCTCATGTTTTTGAACGAAACCACTCGTTCGACCTATCGCCTCTTCCCCTCAAAAGGTTTTTTTTTTT